ATTACGTCACGTATACGAGTAGTTCGGACACGAACCATGTGTGTACCGTTGTTACCGAGCGTAACGACGTAGTTGACGTCAGTTGACGTCCACTTTCTCAGGCAGCGCGTCAGTATTATACGTCCGCTGGAGCGCTGGAACGGAATGATCCGGATGGACCGAGACTCTCAGGTTTCTCTCTGGTTGTTCAATCGAGTCTGGCATTTAAACGGCGCGATCGAGAGAGGAACAATGCTTGATCGGCATTAAATCGGTGCCTGGAGGTACCGCGAAGGCAAGGAGCATCGTTTGGGGAGAGTTCGCCCGAGGGGACGTTCAGCGAAAACAAAGTTTTAGGTTACTCGCGTCATGGCACAGTCGACGACAAGCGGGACCTCCTCGCGACGATACATGCGGGAGCATGAGGTGCCGTCCTCGTCGCGTTACGCGGACAGCGAGTGGGAGTCCAAAGAGGTAGACTTTCTGCAGACGCTGCAGACCAAATCGTGTCGTATCAGTTATAAATCCCTTAACGTTATGTAGCTTTAGTCGCGTCCTATTCTTATTCATAACATCATGTTTACTTTTGTTTATGTCATGATTATATCATAAGCGTATCGTATTATTATGTCACATATTCAAGTGTATTCTGCGAAAAGTAGCAGCAAATGTATAATATCATATGAGCACTTCATTTCTCAGGGTGGTCACTTTGCAGATGAGTAAACCTTTTTTTAGTGAATAAAGCGAAGTTACCTATCTACTGCCATTATTTACTATTTATTTTCCTCTATATTCTAATCGGAACATTATTTAATACTTTACAATATTCAGATTTTTTAAATATTTAATCTTAATTTTGCCTTATTGATTGTAAATGGCATTTCCTGATGCTTTTGGCTGGCCATAGTATTGTTTTTTTTTTTTACCAGTTACTTTGTCGATTAGATGCTACATATGTTTTCTCATCAAACAGGCCTTACGACAGCGGGAGCTCGAGGAGGCAAGGGCGCGAGCGGCGCAGATGGAGAAGACGATGCGATGGTGGTCTGACTGTACTGCTAATTGGCGTGAGAAATGGAGCAAAGTTAGGAACGAGAGGAATGCTGCTAGAGACGAGGCAAAGGCTCTGAGGGCGAAATTGGAGATCGCTGTCAAAGATACCAATACTTTCAAGCACGAATCTCAAGAATTGGAGCTGCAGAACGAACAGCTGAAGAAGGAGATGGAAAAGATACACATGATACTCTTGAAACACGCCGGGCAGTTCGATCAACAGATCTTTACCATTCTGGAATCAGATCCGCAATTGAGAGCTACCTTCGGGTTGGACGAGCAGCTAGAGTTTTATAATAACATCGAAGCCAGCGAAGCGTTAGGTGCACAAAGGGATATGCTATCTTGTAAAAATTCGCATGAAGCATCGAATATCGCTTCGGGAGTTCACAATATCCTACCAGAAAGGGATATCGAGGAGTACGTCTTGCAAGGTGCCGTGCCGAAGCACGCGGTAGAATTGTATAAGGAAAGTCCCAGTAACTCGCTAGATAAAAACGTCACAAAACTAGTCGCGGATAGTAACGCCAAAAAGGATGGACTAGAGAAACAATCACCGTTAGATATGTATAATGAGGAGTGTGTAACTCAAAAAATGTCAACGTTGCAAATAAAGTTGGAGGAAGCAACGAAAACTATTTCTGTGGAAAGAGAGTAAGTCCTGCATGAATGTCAATGCACAAAGCTAATTGATTACATCGCACATAAATTTATTTTACTTTTGTTCTGTAAGGGAAAACAATTCTCTGCACCGGACTGTGGAAAAATTGAAAGCCGAAGTTAAACAATTAAGGGAGCAATGTGAGGAATTATCTGAGAGTAGAGCCGATGCGATGAGAGAACTATCGGAGCTAAAAGAACGTTTTCAACTCGAACTTAGTGACGAACATATAGCAGATTTAATAGACAATACAAATAACGGAGAGAGCATGGACCGTCGTTTGACGGAATTGAGGACAGAAGTAAGTCATTTACATTATATAAATACTTGCAGTCACATTTATTTGTTTAAAAATAATTGAAAAAGTTTAAGTTAATTGTTTACTTTTATTCACATTATATATTGTATCATGTAGATGTGTTTTTACATTTTTAAATTTCAAAATTTTAGCTGGAGAAACTTCAAACTGAAAATGCAGCAGAGTGGAGTAAAAGGGAGAGACTAGAAACTGAGAAGATTTCTTTGGAACGAGAGAACAAATTGCTCCGCTTAAAATTACACGAGCTGCAAGAGAGAATAGAATCGCGACGACCACGGCCGGTATCTACGGCCGACACAGATACGAGACAATTGCAGCATGAAATTCTAGTTCGCAACATGGTCCGTTCAATAATCTTATCAAATTAATAATGCTTCTTAAAATGGTTATTATTACTTTATCTCTCCCGTGCGATATTCGTAGGTATTACTTGAAGTGAAGCAATATCAGGCGGCACTGAAACAATCCTTGGCGGAGAAAACAACAGAGTTATCGCACGCGATGAGACGGTCCGAGCAATACGAGGCGGAGGTGAAGCGAGTGAGAGCGAGAGTCGAGGAGTTGAAGAAAGAGTTGGCCGCTGCTCAGGATGAAGTTGACGCTGCTACGAACAGCGCACGGAAACTGCAACGAACCAACGAGAATCTTATGGAGCAATTGGAATCTGCAAACGTACAACTGGAACATTTTAGAAATAGGTAAGCAGGATAAGCAGTCGGTATGTATAGCTCATATTCACGAGCTTCTACATTAGAACTTCAAAAATATACTTTATTACAGTAACGAGACGCACGAAATTTCAACGGATGCTGAAGTAGACGGGACTGGCAAGCAAGAATTTCAAGCCAACAATTCCAGTGAATACACTGAAGGTACGTTACTAATATAGCCGTCGCTTTTGAATCGATAAAACAATAATTGGACGAAATTACAGTCTACGAACGGTAACAAGCCTAGTATTCGCTTGTGCCGATATAGCGATGAAGTGTTTAAGTCAGATAGCGAAGATGCAAATGGATAGGTGATCTCGTAGTGGGCCTAAAGTACAGAACAAGTACTTGACAACAGTTTTTTTTTCCTTTTCTTTTTTTAATCTTTTACTCTGCGCTAAATGAATTGTACGTATCGAATAATCATGAGCTACGCGCCTACTATGTTTAACAATGAACACGTCAATACTTCTAGAAACATACATGTAAATATATGTTGCGTCATGTTATTTATGTGTCATAATCGATAACGTACAATTTTAATTATCTATTGAACAATATGAGTGATGGATCACCTGCAGTATTTGCTGTTCAATAGTTACTCAGTCATGACAGAGAGATCATGCTTATTTTTATTATTGTTTCCTGTAAATAATCATTTCATTGTTGCTCATATTCGTTTTTCTACTTTTGTAAATTATGAACTAAGTATCTTTCCTCTTTTCATTTGTCATCAATGTGCATTTTGTATACAGTTTACATTCCGCATTATTTTCTTTTGTAAGTTTCTTTTTTTTTAATTAATGTAAAGATATTGTATATATATATAAACATACATATATACATGTTCGCGAAATATATGTGTAATGAAACATTTTGTTTCGTCATGTATTTTTCGTCTCGCAAAAGACTGCCGAAATCGAGTAGCGAGATACAGTATGTACAAGATACGATACCTGATATTTATAACTGAACATTTTATGTCAATACCGAAAATCTATGTAGTATAAATTGAAGCAATACTCTATCTGCATGTATATCCGCGGGTGCATGTCGCAGATATGCCGAGTTGTAGATAAAATCTAAACTTTTATACAATACAATCACTTATGTCAAATTGAGAAAATTGTCGTGAATTATATTTCTTAACCAATGAGAAGAAGGCGAAAAAAGTTTTTTTTTCTAGTTAAAATGTATTTTATTGATAAAATTTAATAAATAGCAGCGAGATGTAACATGTTCACCATGCTATACAGTCAATAATTTGGAAGTACCTCAATAAAGAAATTGTAGTATTGTACACGTAATATTTATGCCGTCCAACTTGCAATCCTGTGGATTCCCCGAAAGATTATAGTCTTTATATACTAATCCATAGGAACGAAAGTTTTTTATTGTATTTGTTTTACTTCTACATTTATTTTACTTGTTGAAAGCTGCTGAAGAGGGAAATGTACTACTCGAATTCATGATAGAGTAAGTTACAATGTCGACGCGCACGAAAGCAATTAGTCAAATACGACCTAATCTACGACCTAAGCGAGTCACGTAAATTCCACTGTACTATACAACGAAGTGAAAAATGCAGGATGCTTTAGAGAAATAATTGTCGTTGCATCCAATATATATTTTGATGATTCAACACCTCATAGGCCTGCCATCGGGATACGTCGGCACTTTCGGCTTGCAGATTTTTGTCCTACCGTTGGAACCGTACACGACGTTGCAGGAGAACGTGAAATAGCCACAGGTGGAACTTTTTGTGTAATATCGATGCTCGTACTTTCTCGGTTCATTGTTGCCGTTCATCTTGCCAGCGAAACTGTTGGTCACGGTGTAATAACTCGGCTTCGCCGCTATCGCCGGAGTAGGTCTCGTGTGCTTATCGGAAGATGTGTTTTGATTAACGGGAGATCCTTGGCTCTTCGACGTATGTCGGCCGACGTAACGCTCGTAATTTGTCTGAAGCGATCTAGTCTCCGTGGGCGGTGACCTGGTATTGTTGAAGTCCTTTGGTACCAAAGATACAGTCTGCGACTGGGACTTGCCGTCGCCTTGAGCAACGGTCTCTGTGCCGGAGGTCGACATCACTCGGCCACGGAAACCAGGCGGGATGGTGTATCCTGACACGGATTGTCCCGGTTGCAGAGTATCACCCGTTCGCGGGACGTTTGAGTCTTGGCTAACGTGAACGTTGTATTGATTCCCCTTAGCGACCTGTATCATCTGCGACTGACTGCGACTTTGCTGCTGAAAGGTCTTATCGAGTTTCTGATGATTCGGGCTCGGACTCGGAAAAGTTCCCGAGAACTTCTCTTTGATTGTCAACCTCGAACCCGCTGTCGTAGGATAATCATCTTCATCCGCATAGTCGTCGTCATATTCGTCGTACGTCGTGTCGTCCGTTCGCGGTTTCTCGGTAGCTAGCACCTTCTTGTCGGCAGCGTCGTCCAGATTGTTCTTGGAAGCCAGGACGACGGTCTGCCTCGAGGTTGAACTGCTTTGCAAACCTTGCTCGCGATTCTGCTTGTTTTCGTCCGGTTTGTTGTCGTAATTCGAACTTGTCGACGGACTCGATTGTGCTGCGCTGTCAACATTCGTCGGTCGCTTCAAAGGAGGAGACTGTTTGAAGGGCTTGAAGAGTTCGGTGTCGGTGAAGTTGAAAGGCTTCCGCGAAGATGCGGCGCCGGATCCGGAACCGGCTTGCGCTGCGCCGTTGTACGTGATCCCATATTGGAAGGAACCTTGCAGCTGCGACTGGGACTGACCTCGATGAGTGCCACTCTGAGCCGACGCCGTTCCGCTACCGCGAAATGGCCTCGCATGCTTCTCCACCTTTTCATCGTCGTCCTTCAAGTACGGCTGGAAGCCGATCTGCGCTTGGCTGGAAGTATTGCCTTCACCATTGGCCTGAGCATCCGCCATTCCGCCCTTGGAGCTTGCTTGCACTTGCGAATTGGTACCATGGTTCCAGCCGCTGCTCTGAGCACCCGTCGAGGTAGCTCCGGAGTCGGAATCCAGTTGAACCTGCGTCTGACTCTTTCCGTAACCGGCGACGCCTTGTGCATTGCTGGTAGCTCCTTCTTTACCGCCACTGACCTCGGCTTGAGCACTTTTGTTGGCGTCGCTGGTGCCAGCCTGGGCCGAGAAGGTGCCGGAACCGCTGTAGGTACCTGTGACTTGCGACTGAGCTGTGCCCGATCCGTATTTACCCTGAGCCGATGCGCTTGCTTGAGTGCCTGAGTCTGCCTGCTGTTGTACGGAACTCGACGCCTGTGACTCGGCACCGTCATCCGCCACACCCGCCGGTCTAGTTGGTCCGCCAGTTTGTATGTATTGCGAAGCTTCACCGGGACCTGCAGTTCCAACCATTCCCGGATAACCATTTCCTGGATATCGATGACCATCTCCTCCCTGAACACTGATTCCGCCTGGAAGCTGACCAGGATACTGCCCAGTGACACCAGTCCCTCCTGTTGTGCCTGGTGGATACTGAACACCTCCTGTTCCTGGAATTCCGATACCCGTGCCTGGATATTGTCCACCTGGATAAGTTGGCACTTGGCCACCTGGGTAGATTACTTGACCAGGATATAAGGTACCACCGGGAGGAGTAATTTGTTGTGCACCACCAGGATATGTACCTGGAATAGTTCCAGGGTATGTAACGCTTGGATACGTAACTTGAGTACCCGTTACACTGCCTGTTGTATCAGGAATTTTGCCAGGTTGAATAGTACCACTAGAACCTGGGTAAACCACTTGACCATTTGTTGGTTGACCACCTGGATAAGTTATTACTTGTGTACCAGTGCCAGATGTTGAATCTGCAGTCGTACCAGGAACTTGACTTCCACTAGGTAAAGTGCCTGATGGAATACCTTGGGGATAGGATATAACAGTCTGTTGTCCACCACTAGGATAAACTCCTTGAGTTGTTGTTCCTCCTGGGACAACACTGCCAGGATATGTCCCGACACTTGTTCCTGGAATACCAGGTCGAACACCACCAGGATAGACTCCAGTTCCGGGATAAGTTCCTGTACCAGGAATTCCCGGATATGTCCCACTTGGTAAGCCTGTTCCAGGTGCGGTACCAACTGGGTAAGTTCCAACACCAGTGACAGTAGTGGAACCTGTTGCTACCGAAGTAGTTACGATGCCACCAGGAGGATAGATACCTTGTCCCGGTTGGACTCCAGGTTGCATACCTGGGTACGTCCCAACACCACCAGGTAAGACTCCTCCAGGCTGGATGGGATATGGTCCACGATCTCCTGTGATTATAGTTCCAGGTGGATATGTTCTATCACCTCCTGGTATCACAGTACCAGGTTGAATACCACCAGGATATGTCCCGTCAGTCCCTGGTATCACAGTACCAGGTTGAATACCACCAGGATACTTCCCGTCAGTTCCTGGTGTCACAGTTCCAGGACGGACACCTCCAGGATATCTCCCGTCAGCTTCTGGTGTCACAGTTCCAGGACGGATACCTCCAGGATACGTTCCATCAGCTCCTGGTAT